GAAGGTATTTTTGAAGAAAATTTTGTACGTTAAGTTCTAATTGGGTTGAATTCACAAATTCGAATGGAAGTTCGTTTGTTAGACAAGACTATGGAATTGGCTCAAGGAGTTGAAAAAAATAAAGTTCTGACTCAAACCATCAATCCAAAGATGAGTTGGGTGAACCGGAGGAAGCTGAGAGATCAGGACTGAAAAGAACACTGCTGAGATGATGTACAAAAATAACAATGGGGTGCAAACGAACAAAAGTGAGTTTAGACGGATGTCGGATCAAGAACTTTAGCAGAGGCGTAGTCAAGGGTTATGCTTTAGATGTTGACGGAAAGTATGCCCTAGGCTATCGATATAAGGAGGCCAATGTATTGGTAGTCCAAGAAACCGATAGCAGTCGGTTGGAAGAGGATGTAGAGATGGAGGGATTGATTGAATTGGAGGCCATTGAAACAACTCAAGACGTCGAAGTCTTGTTAAATTTGTTGGTGGGATTGATAGTGGGGCTTCACACAATCTCATAGCATCTATGTTGGTAGAAAATTTAGGTTTGACTAGTAGAATTACTGCGGAGTACGATATTTTGGTGGGAGCAGGGGAGGCGATTAAATGCCGAGGAGTGTGCAAAGGAGTAAAATTGAAGTTGCAAGGGATAGAAATTATGGAGGAGTTCTAGCCCATTGATCTGGGGAACTCTCATATTATCTTAGGAGTTAAATGGTTGGCATCGGTAGGTTCAACGTAGGTGACTTGGCAATCACAATCCATGAGGTTTAAGAACGGTAAAGAGACATTAGTCTTGAAGGGTGATCCATCCCTTGGGAGGTCATTGGTGTAATTAAAGGCGATGAAAAGAATACGTAGTGATAGAGAAGGGGTGTCGATTGAGTTGGGATGTGTTAAGTCTTAGAGAAGAAAGGAAGCAAGGTACTGGTTGGAGTAGCACACATGATAGAGGAATTCAACAGTATATTTTGCATGTCCGAGGGTTTACCTCCAAATTGGGGAAGGGAACATGGCATTATTTTGAAACAAATAGCGGAATTGTAAACGTGTGTCTTTACGATACTTGCAGTACCAAAAGGATGAGGCTGAAGAACTAAATAAAGAGATTTTGGCGGGGAGTAATTCCGTACAGCCACAAGTCCATTTTCAAGTCTCGTGCTGTTAGTTAAGAAAGAAGACAAGTTTGAGTTGTTGCATCGACTATAGAGCATTAAATAAGAATATGATATCAGACAAGTTTCCAACACCAGTGAAGTTTGAGTTGTTGCATCGACTATAGAGCATTAAATAAGAATATGATATCAGACAAGTTTCCAATAGCAGTGATTGAAGGGTAATTTGATGAACTTTATGAAGCAGCCTATTTTTCGAAGCACCAGATTAGAATGGAAGATGTACACAAGACGATATTTCGCACTCATGAAGGCCACTATGAGTTTTTGATGATATTTTTAGGCCTTCTTCAAGGAGAATCGTTTTGGAATGTTTTGACGATATTTTGGTGTACAACTTGTATGTAGAGGAACATGTCAATCATCTCAGGGCGGTAGTGGAAGTTTTAGCTAAGAACAACTTATATTCGAACAAAAAGAAGTGCAACTTTGGTCATATGGAGCTGATTTATTTGGGACATGTGTCTCGGGAAGGGGTGTCCATTAATATGACAAAGGTAAATACGATGCTCAAAAGGTTGATCCCTACTTCTGTGATGCAGTTAAGGGTTTTTTGGGGCTCTAACCGGGTACTACAGAAAGTGCTTAAGGGGGTATGGACAGATTGCATGACCCTATTAAAAAAAACAAGGATTCAAATTGAGTAAGCAAGCAGATGTTGCTTTTGCAGAATGTATGAAGGCAATGATAGTAACATGTGTTTTGCAATTACCAGATTTCACGAAGCCATTGGAAATTGAAGCTGATGCTTGTGGACAGGGGGTAGGAGGAGTGTTAACGCAAGGAGGACAATCCATTGCACACCACAGCCAAGTGTTGGGACAATTGGCAAGGCAGAAACACATTTACAAAAAATAATTGATAGCCATTATATTGGTTGTTTCTAAGTGACGACCTTACTTGATTGGGAGAAAGTTTACCATAAAAACAGATAAGCAAAGTTTAAAGTTTTTGCTAGAACAATGATCGATGGAACCCCGGTGTCAAAAGTGGCTAACCAAACTACTTGGATATGAGTTTAACATTATGTACAAGGCTGGGAAAACGAATCAAGCTGTTGATGTTCTCTCTCGAAGGGATGTGGAGTTATCGGCTATAGGAGGTCCACAATGGAGACAATGGGATTGCATCAAGGAAGAACTAATGAATGGCCCTTTTTTGACTAAAGTCTTATCTGGTATACAAACACAATTTGTAATGCACAAAGGGTTTGAAGTGAGACAGGAGCTATTGTGGTTTAAGGTAGGCAGATGTTACCCAAGTCTTCAAAACTAATTCCGATGGTTTTGGAAGAATTTCATTCATCACCATTGGGGGTCATTTGGGGGAGGTAAAGTCGTATCAGTGGATAAAAGGAGAATTATTCTAGATAGGAATGAAAGGGGATGTTAACACATGGGTTTAAAATTGGGAGGTTTGTCAAAAGAACAAGTATTCGAGTAGAGTACTCCTGCATGCTTGCTATAGCCAATTCCTTTGCCATTAATGTTATGGAAGAAATAATTATGGATTTTATTGAGGGTCTTCCTAAGTCCGATAGCTTGGATATAATAATGGTGGTGGTAGATCGATTAAGCAAGTATGCTATTTTGTACCATTAAGGCATGCTTTTATGGCTGCTCGGGTACAAAGATATTCGTAAGAGAAATAGTGAGATTGCATGGGATTCCGGACTCGATTATTACGAACTGAGACAAGGTTTTTCTTAGTGGTTTCTGGAAAGAATTGTTTCACTAGCAAGGGACAACATTAAAGTTTACAAAAACATACCACAATCGGAGGTGGTAAATAACAACATTGAGAGTACTTGGGTTGTTTTACATCAGATAAACCTTGTAAGTGGAAACGTTGGATAACTTGGGCAGAGTAGTGGTACATGTGGGAAAATGGAAATGATTGTGTATCCAATAGGGATCGTATATAATCATATAGAATTTGTAATTATGTATGATCCCAAAAAATCAGGGATTTCACAGGATAGTTTCCTTATATTATGGCTTGGCCTCTTGTATATATTATGTATGATTTCTCTCAATAATCAATTCACTGGAAACCCCAAACCTATTATGGTATTAAAACTACCGAAACTTGGGAATCCATTTCGCCTTCATTGCTTGTGTTTTCGCGTTCATTGCCCGTTTCTCTTAAAGCTGTTTTTCTGGCCTTTATCACCAGAAATTCATAACCCTCTTATACCTACACCTCTCGATCAACAACCAAAAGAATGGCAGAGACCAAGTCAGACCCCGCCTCTCAATCTCAACCCACTCACATTCAACAGCCAGGAGAATTATACAACACATCCACACCCAAGGCACATGTTGGATGTCAAGAACTATCTCAAGTGGTCCCAACTGGTTTAAACCATCCTGAAAGGGAAGTGAAAAATCAGTCAGTCAGTCATCTCACTGGAACAGAAGATTCCTGTTTAAAGCCTGGGACGAAGAAGATTCTATGATCATGGCCTGGTTATGGAGTTCTATGGTTGTTGAAATAAGTGAAACAATGACATTCATGGCTAACGCAGAAGATATTTGGAATGTAGTTCAAGAAACTTATTCCAAAGCAAAAGATGCAGCCCAAGTATACGAGGTGAAAGTGAAGACTGTGGCAGCAAAACAAGGAAGCAAAACCGTAACCGAGTATGCTAATCAGGTAAAATCTCTATGGCAAGAGCTCAATCATTAAAGGGTAACTAAAAGCAAATGCTCTGAATATGCTGCAATACTTAAAGACTTCATAAAGACATGGTGTATGATTTTCTCGTAGGATTAAACTCCGAGTTTGATCAAGTAAGGATCCAAATCCTTGGAAAATCGGAAGTTCCATACTTCAATGAAGTGGTGGCTGTTACCAGAAGCGAGGAGAGTAGAAGGACCTTATTGCTTGAGTCCATTCCGGCTAATGGCTCGGCTTGGTGGCTGAAAATGTCAAAATCGGAGCAGGGAGAATGGAAAGGAGAACTATTTACGAATCTGGACTTGGAAAGAACGACCAGCCCAGGGCTCAGAATCGAGATGGACTATGGTGTACTTGTTGCAAAAAGGCACGTCACACCAAGGATAATTGTTGGAAGATGCATGGCAAGCCTCCAAGTCATGAGTGGGGGCAGAAAGGTGCATCAATACGGGACAAAACACAAGCTCATGTTGCTGTCGATCCAAAACAAGAAGGAAAACAAGAAGCAGCTAGCCTTAACCAGGAAGAAGTGGAGAAGCTAAGATCATTTTTAGCACTCTGGAGATCCCTATTTGCCGTAGATATTTGTTCATCAGCCTATTCAGATAAGCACTGATTTTCATTTGGATTTAATGTCTAAGATTTAGCGTTAAAATACTCTTGGATCATGGATTCGGGAGCAACCGACCACATAACCTCTCTTCCAAACATTTTTCCACATACTCACCATATCCAAGTAACAAAAAAATTGCCACAGCAGATGGATCTCTAGCAACCGTAGCTAGTAGAGGAGATGTCCAAATCAGCCCATCCATAACCTTAAAAAATGTTCTACATGAACCAGAAAACCATTCAACCTTGTCATAACATGTAACATTCTTGTTTCCTTTTGAAGGGTTGATATGAATATTGTTGTACTTTGGCATGATCTTAATCAACAGATTTCAAATGCAACTTTTTTGTTTATCAAAAACAAAAATATTCTACATCTAAACTTCGACAACAATCAATGTTTGAAGGACACATGTACTAACAAGAAACCTTGTTGCCTTGGTACCTTGGATGTTCTACTATTGAACTTCCAATCAGTGATTGAAGAATTTATGAGTTTCATGTAGTTTTTCTGTAGCTGATGAACCTGGTGCCCTGCAGATTTCACTCCCTTTGTGCATATATGGGTGATGATGACATGTTCAGTTCTGATCTCAGTGATGACCAACTGAAACAGAGACTTGCTCACATGAGTAATACACCTTGCCAGGTATGAGTGTGCTCCTTTGAGGAATTTCACGAATCTCAGTTATATGATTATATATCTGAAAGAATTGAATGAAATTTGCATCTTGCAGGTCATATTTTCTATGGCAGATGAATATGTACCAGATTATGTTGACAAGAAAGCTTTGGTACAGAGGCAAGTGCAAGGACCTCTCCATTTATCTTACCCATATATAACAAACGCCAGGCCGTTCTTCCCTTTAGGGATATAGAGGTCAGGACTGCATACATCCCTCCCCTCCCAGACCCTGCTTTTGAGCAAGATATTCTGGGTTTTTCGACTTATACAAACAAATGCTTTGGATGTACTAGGTTTCTACGGTAGTACAGGGGGGGTGTACTCGAGGGGGTGGTGTCTATGCTTTGTTTTTTAAGAATATGAAAAATGTTTAGGATTGATGACTGATCTCTGTCTATATTCTTGTAAATACAGATTGTGTAAAGCATTGGGGGGTGCAGAGAAAGTTGAGATAGAATGGGGAAACCATTCTCTATCCAATAGAGTTGACGAAGCTGTCCAGGCAATAATGCAATTTGTGAAGAGTGGGGGTCCTAATGGCTGGGATGACCCTTGGAGCTAAGTCAAAACGGTGCCATCTTCTTTCCCTTATTTTAGCTCCATATCTTTCAGATTATGACTCCTGCAGATTTTATAGTTGCGTTACACAAGTGTGTTATAGTTTCAAGTTGTAATTTATATTTTCCACCAACGTCATACATTCAAACCAGCCTTTGCTTCTTTTCAAGTTGAGGTATTGTTTATTATAAGTGAAAAGTGATAAAGTTTAGATAGTAGTCCTCTATCCGGCATTCATCTATTCCGACTCTGGTATTGTGCCTCTCCCAGTGAGCAAGATCATTCACGCAAAGTCTTTCTACCTCTTGGGGTAACGGTACACATCATATCCATTCCTCTTTAGACCTTACTTGTGTGTGGGATATATGGGTTCATTTGGTTTTAGAGCAAGATCCTTTGCTCCTTCTGTCTAGATATATTCAGTTTATTTGGTTTTTGAGCAAGATCCTTTGCCGGTGATCCTATCCTCCCTGGACCTTACTTAGTCATGTGATCTCTTTAACTTCACACCACTGAATCTGCAATCGTTTTGGTTTGATGTGCACAGAATAGGTCATGTTCATATTCACCACTTCTAGTGCTGGATTTGATCATCATGGAGGAAGGATTTGGCAATATCAAGTGGTAGCCATTTGGTTGTTGCATTCAAAATTCAGTGAAATCTGAAAGAATTGGAATGATTTATTCTTTTGTTTGGTATGTAATACAAGGAACTGAGTTCATTCAAAATCCCATGAATAGAGTTTTATCATTCCATACATTTTGGGTGGATTTTGTCATAGTCAACTAGTTCATCCATTTATTTAGCCAATTGGCTGATGTGACATTCCACGTCACCAGTAGTTATCTGACTTGGACTTGTGCAGTGGAAGGAGAGAGGATTGATATACTACTCAAGTCTTGGGTTATTTTTTTCTTTTTTCTTTAAGGGTTGTTTGGTTTTTGAGGGTTCATTGGATGATGTACACAATGTAATTTTAGAAGCATGCTTTTGGATGTTTTATCTTTAGGATGAATGGAAGTTGTTTATGTTCATGAATGATAAGGTCCTTTTAGATTGACTGAATGGTTTTGAAGTAATTGAATTTTGGGGAAGGATTTTTAGTCTTTTGTATGATCGGTTTGTAGGAAATTCCTATCTTTATCAATAATTTATAAAAATAATTAAATTATCTTTTATTAATTGCTTATTTAAAAGGAATGATTTAAACATATTTTAAAATATTGTTACAAACAAATTCTAAGATACCATTTACCTCATGGTATTTTACATTAAGTGTTTTTGAGATTTCATTGTGGATTTCCTTTAAACTAAACATAGGATTTGAATAGAATCTAATTTCAAATCCCATCAAATTTAACAAATTTAATGGGCCTTCATAATATTGGTAAAATAGTTTTCATACATCATTTAGTCTTTCTATTGGACACAAGATTCAAAATGGCGTGAGGTATGGCGAGACGACAACCTCAAGTGTTACACATTACTGCGAGGACGTGGAGTTTTTCAAGGTGTGATAATAAGGCGACACATTTGTATGTCACATATAGATGCATAGATGTTTTCCCTATATTATTCGATTAGGTAATGATATTAAAAAATTTACGTTCACATTATAAAAAGGAAAATCATATAGATTATTATTATAAAAATAATCGTTGATTAAATATTCAAAATAAAACTTAGAAGAGATTTTGCAACCTTGTTTAAATCGTGAATTCATGGCATTTCATGAATTCGTGAAACTGTGGAGTGATGTGATTTAATAAATCTATAAAATATAAATATAAAGTTAAAATTGTAAAAACACAAAAGCTAAATAAATAAATAAAACTAAAAAAATATTTTTTTTAAAAAAAAGTCACGTATTGTAAAAACAACGGTGAGCCATGACATGCCTCAAGGTGCAATGGTATGAGCCACGCCTTAGAGAAATGCTATAGGTTTTATCGTAACGACAACGATACATCTTACGCCATATTGCACCATGGCACGCCTTTTGAACACTGATTCGGCATAACAAGCAAACAACATCTCAGTTTAACGCATGAACAAAACTTTATAAAAAAACACCAAACAACCCCTTAAGTTCGTTTGTGTTGAAGGATTTTGTTTTCTACGTTCACGGTTTGATTTATACTTTGTTGTTGTCTGTTGTTATATTTTTGAGCAACCATCTTCTCTTCACTAGAACCAATCGGGCTACACGTCAAGGGTGTCTGTTGCCATTGTCGATATAATCTTTTGAAAAAATACATAGATTCAATTATGTGAGTCGGATATGGATAAATATTAGTTATGTTTGTCTCTTAATCAGTTATAATTGGTCCTAATAGAAACAAATATTACCATATAATTTGTTATGTCGTAACCAGTCATGCTCTTTAATCATCATCTGTGCATGTATACTGATGTAGATTGATTTGACTAGTCTTCAAGGTATGTCCTGTTATATTGAAAGTCAAGAAAACCAACAAAGCGAAAGTTGACCTCACAACCCCTATCATTGACAAATTACAACGACCATGATTTTATTTAAATGATACGAGACAACTCGCAAGCTATCCGAGATCGACTTGGTCAAAACTCGATCAACATTTGACTCGAATAGGCTCGGCTGGAACTCAAACTTGACTCGACATATTAAAGAGACAAATCGAGTCAAGCTACTCGATACTCGACTCGAAAAGCTCGTGAGATACTCGATTTTTTTATATATAATTAGTTTTAAAAATATAATCAGTTTTATAATATAATACGTTTTAGATATTTGAACAATATTGTGCATTTTTTAATTATAAAAACTATATCAATAATTTTTTTTAATAAAATCATAATTAAAAAAGGAAAAAAAAAACTATAGAAATGTTGGTGAAGTTGTCCTACATTGAAAGAGAGATAGTAAAAGAAGGATGAAGAGTTGTTATAAAAAGAGAGAGAGAAGTGAATGAAGTTTGTAACTTTACCTTTTTGTTGATGAAGTTTAAGGTGCATCCCTTTAATTTTTTAAAATTTAAGAGAACACCTAAGTTTTATATTTTATAAGAGAAGACCCTATAATTTCATAAATTTCTACGGATGAGCTTGATTTGAGTTCTAGTTCGAGCTTGATTCGAGTTCGAGTTCAAGCTTAATTCGAGTGGAGTTCGAGCTTGGTTCGAGCTTTACACGAGTTCAAGTTTAAAAAATTACAATCGAGTTCGAGTCGAGTTTAATTTTTAATTACCCGCGAGTTTTTGAGTCGAGTTCGAGCTTGAGAAATGACTATCGAGTTTGAGTCGAGTATATTGATACTTGAGCTTAGCTCGCATCATTTACACCCCTATCAACAACAGAAGCTCTATTAAGTCAAAGCATTTAATTATATCGGTTTCTCTGGACATTGATGAATTATGTTACACAAACCGTAATGCTTTAATGCTATATCAATATGACTAATGCACGATATTGTGATTATAATAGCAAATTTAAGAGTCCTACTATATATATACAGGAGGTTTCCAAACCATACAAATCAATTTAACCATCCATATAGTATTGTTAAGTCAAATATTATTGTATCCGAGATCATCGAGCATAGAGATATTTGTAATGAAGATTGATAAAAATCTAAAGTCAAAGAGTCAACCAAAGTCAACATATCAAGAGCTTAATTGCATTTTATGTTTTATAGTGTAGGGTATAAATACCTTGCTTACTTGTAATTGTGAAGAGAGAAATTTTATCGTAAATCATATTGTAGACTTTTAGAAAGAAAAATGTGTATAACTTTCATTGTTACTTCTTCAAATCTGGGTTTGTATTAATTTCTTGGTCCACTTTAATATATTTTGGGTCTCTTTGTGAATTTGAGTTCATATGTGTTCTTCGTGTGTTCATAATAGAATCCTAAGTTTCAAGGTTTGCTCATTTTTTAGGATTTATATCGCATGTGTTTTTGTTCATGCTTTCTGCGATATATGTGTTTTATCGCACATATCTTTGTTAAATTGGTGTGCGATATATTTGTTGGGGTGGATATCACATCTTTGTTCTGCGATATATAGGTTTGTCACACACACTTTGTTCTTTCGTGTGTGACATACCTTGTTCTTTTGGTGTGTGACATACTTTGTTTTCTTTGGTGTGTGACATCATCCATACTTGGAAATTTTTTCTAAAATTTTCAATTCAAGATTTTTGCTCAAAATGTTTTTCAAAGGGGTTTTCAAGCTAACATATATATTTTTCAGGTATAAATGAAATATATGAACAAATGGATTCTAACCACTTTGATGATAAACATCATTTTTCATCAATCAGATCAAACCCACCTACATATACACAATCTGTCAATGCCTAGAATCCTGATGAAAGACTTCTACCTAGAAAGCCTTATATCTTGAGCTGAAACCCAACAACCACCAATTAAATTTTGAAACCATGCACTGTGATTTCTCAGTCATTCTAGAGATTTTAAAAGGCCACTTTACGCTATGCTTTAACTGGAACATCACATGTTCCTCTCGTGTACTTACAACAGTTCTGGCATACCATGACGTATGTTCCATCTGCCAGAGAACATTATTTTGAAGCGTTTGTGGACAATTTCCGAACACAGTTAACTTTGAGAAGATTGAGACGAACATTTTCACTGCCAGAGCCGAATGAATTCCCATGGAAGGTATTTTATGATGATTTTGTTCTAGATATTGAAATGTGTCCAGACATTAGATTATTGGGATATTCAGAGCATCTTCCGTCTCTGAAAACCTTCAACATAATGTATATGCCTTCCATATGGCATACTTTATTCTCCATCCTAAACAGATGCCTCACTTTAAAGGCAATAGGATTGGATATATGCAACACATCGTTTCTAAGACAATTCCACGGTGTTGCTTTCAACAAGCATTATGACTACGCTGTCATATTCCGGAATGAATTGTCGGAGTTAGTACACGACAAGAGCAAACCTTCAAAATCAAGAAAAATTTGTTTCATTTCAGAGATTTCTTCAATTGATCACCCATAGCATGATCAGATCCAACCCATACATTCCAAAAAGACTGGATACGGAATATGGCCCTGAATACGAGATGCAATATCTCAAAAGGTAAAGAGAATTGAAAATCAAGATATCCTTCCTCTTCTAGAAGTTTTCTTCTTGCTTTTGCGGATCAGAATGCACCGAGTGTGATTGATTATAGGCAAGAAGTAGCTCTAATGGTCTAGGTAGAGATGAAGGGACTTTCCCAAGGAGTAATCCATCTCTCAGATGAGAGGAGTGAGGGTCCTTTAGGTCTAGCTAAGCAAGATCAGATACCCGAGGGTCCTAATCAGGGAGAGATGAGGGAAAATGTATATGAGAGGGGTTTGGAGATTGGGGGCGCTTCTAATCATGTAGCTCTACTAATGATGAAACAATTGACAATGATACTCATGTTGATAATGAAGATGTTGACAATGCTGATGTTAGTTCTAATGATTCATCTGATGATAATGTTGCTGACAATTATCTGATTGTTTTTGCTTCTAGAATTGAAAATATAATCAGTCGAATTACTGATCCAGAAGGTGATATAAGGAGATTTGAGGGTGTTGTAGTTGAAAAAGCTGAGAGTATGAGAGTTGGCAAAGCAAAAGAAAACATGGAGAGGGTGAGATAGGGTTAAAAGAAAATAGAACCCTATCCAAACTGTATATACAAGATGGGTAGCCAAATTTACTACTAGATCTCATATGTTAGGATCCGGTATTGAAGAAGCCGTTATGGACCCAATAACACATTTGCATACCCCCTACTACTCAAACATCTCTCAATAAATGTCTGTTTCATGTGAACACAGGGATTGGGCACAAAATCCATATGGCTCTCACTCAAAGAGTTTAGATATTGAACAAGGCAGACATCAGCCCCGGTCACCGACATCTTTCAGTGCACCTTTGAGTCTAGAGCTTTATACACAAATAGGAACATATTACTAGAGCTTCTACTGCTCAAATTGCTAGTCTTTGTGACTTAGTCAAAACAACCAAAGTGGAATCACTTGCTGATA